AAAAAAAAAAAAAAAAAAAAAAAAAAAGAAAAGAAGTATCCCAAATCCAAGTGGGGCACGGTAGTGCATGACTATAAGATGAGCATTTATGAATCCGCAGTGGGAAATTTGGGTCCTGTCTGAGGAATTTAGTGAGACATTGTCCCAAAATAAAGATTAAAAGCCCTGGAAATGTAGCTCAGTACCAAGTCCCAGGGTCAATCTCCAGTTCTTAAAACGAAATAAAACAAACTTTTAAAAAATCCAATTTATTCAGCCTTTTGTATTAGAATTTAATCCTACTGCTTTGGGTTCTCCCCCCAGAGGCTGACAGGCCGACTCGTTATGGGAGACTGTGACGGAACCCAGAGCCAGGCTCAGTGCTCAGCACCGCGCAGGAGATTCAAGCGCTGGTGCAGGCAGAGCGCTAGACCTTCGGCCGCCGGGGGCAAGTTCTCTCAGGGAGGAAACAGCGTCGCCTTCCATCTACCAGGTTCCAATGCTCTGGGTTTGGTATAATGATGGATTTGGTATGATTCACACAATCACAATCTTCAGGGGCTGGTGAGATGACTCAGTGGTCTAAAGCACCTACTTAGAACAAGCTTAGCAAAGCACAGGGAATCCCCCAGCACCACATGCCAGCCAGCCCCGCCCCCTGGTGGGCTGAGCTGCCCCCCCCCCCACAAATTAAAAAAAAAAAATCTTCAAACATCACGTTGAACATACTTTGCCCTTTATAAATATCATATATTCATTCACTCATGCAACAAATACTTGTTGCATACTAAAATCATACAAGGAAGCATGCTCAATTTTCTCCTACGCCTCATGGTCCGGACCTGATTATGGCTCTCCATCTCCTTGAGAGCAGGCACATTGTACGGGACCCATTTTTATCCCAAGGACCAACCTGTATAAGCCATTCAATCAGTGCCACAAATACATACTTCATGAATGAAAAATGGGGTGGAGATAGGCTAACTGTGCATGACCAATACAAAATATTTATTCCTATGTCTTTTGAAATTTTTTTTTATATATTAAGTACAGGGTCTACAGGGTCTCACTACACGGATCAGACTCGTAGTAATCCTTCCTGTTTTTCAGCCTCCCAAGCGCTGGGAATACATGCGCACACCACCACGCCCAGTCTCAATTGCCATTTTAGCGCACCTTTGCGGTGGGGGTGGCACTGCAGGCTGGGGATCGAACCCCTGTGTCTCCCTAAGCAGGTGCGTTAATCCGCTGAGCTATCTGGCTGGCTATTCCTATGTCTTGATAGTCTTTAAAGTTGAATTTGAGCAGAACATGAATGCAAATACTATAGCTATGAATAATACATTTTGCAGCAGTATTACTTAGGCCTTTCACTTAGGTTAAATATGTAGTTATATACTTATATAAAATAAGAAGATAAAATCAACAATGTATACAAACTCTTCAGAGATTCAAAGGGTTTTTTTTGGTGAGAATAACAGTTTAAAACACTATTTCTCTCAGATTCAAATCCCCTTTCATGTAGTAAAAGGAAATGAACAAAGAAATCCAAATACACTGAAGTTTTCAGGGCCAAACATTTTGATTCAATATGTTCTGCTATAAAATATTTGGCCTTGTTTGAGATTTTATTGCTGTATGTACTCAGTCTATATTTAACTGTGAGATGCACAACTAAGAAAAAGTGAATGTGCAGAATGTCCTTTTCCACTGCATGGCAGTGAATTTGAGAAAACATATATTAAAGAAACACTCTGCATTTTAAATTCTCAGCTTCTTTCTAAGGCCTCCCTCAGCCAGATACAATTAAATATGTATTGATCTAAGGACTCAACTGACTTGGAGGTGCAAACTCTTATGGACTTCTCAGAGCCACCTAAGACCAATTCCTTATTTCACCATGCTCTCAAACAAAACTTGTTTTAGGCAGTCTTTTTCATAAATGAAATAAACTCTAATTAGAAAGTTTTATAATGGAGACATTCAATTCCCCAATTCCTTATTTGCCTGAATTAACTTTTTAAAAATTAGGGTGTTCACTGTGGCGTGGACTCCATTTGGGCTCTGTAATCAGTCAACAACCTGTGCCTCACAAATGCTGGCATCTGCAAGTGCCAGCTCCTTTCCCCCATACCTTCTCCATGGGGTAATGCATTTTAATTGGTACCTCTCTGTGAGTTCCTCACATCTCCATATGGCCCAGTGCACACACTTTTTTTATTCAGCTTCAGCATCTTGGCAATTAACAAAAAGATAGACTTGCCACAGTTTGTAATCTTTAAAATGCACAGAATCCTAAAATTAGATGACTGTGTACAAGTGGTGTATTCAGTGGCTTCTTGGGGAGTGGCTCATCTACACAGTGGTCTTGTGTTTAACAGTATTCAAGCGCTGCTCCTTTCATCTAAACTGCAGTTCCTGAGTAGTGCTACCAGAAGAATTGCTAATTTAGATTTAAAATGTCCTCCCAAAGCCTTAGGTGATCGGAAGGTGATTGAATTATAGGGACCCAATACTCATCAGTGGATTCATCAGTTGATGAGTTCAGAGCTGATTGTGCTGCTAGGAGGCAGGGCCTGGCTGGAGGGGGTGACTGGTGGATGATGGGGAGGAGGTGTCACCCTCGCTCCACCCCTTGCTTTCTTTCCTGGCTGCCATTGGTTGAGCACCTTTTCTTGCACTCTGTGTCTCTACCATCCTGGTTCTGCTTGGCGTGATCAAAACTGAAGATCTAAGTGAAACTTTCCTCCTTTAATTGTGGGCATTGGCTATTTTGTCCCCACAGTGAGTAAGACAAAGCCTTTGTCCTCTCAGGGATTAATTCATCTTGAAATATTCAGTTTCCAAGGACAACATAACCTTTAGACACAGGATTTTTGCCAGCTTCTTTCCACTGCTCAGATTGGGCTAAGCATGACTAGGAAGCAAATGGAGAAGTGGTAAACAGTGTGGGCTAGAGTCAGTTTAGGCTAAATTCCAGGTGACTCGGCACATTTATCAACCAGTCTATGCCTCAGTTTCCCCATCAACAAAACAGAAATAATATCAGTACCTATCCCATAAGATTATTTGGAGTATTGATTAGGTAAGATGGGATATCTGACATGTTTCATAGAACTTGGCTCACAGTCACAATTACTATTTTTAGGCAAGTTCAGTAGACCAAACTTCTTGGTAGAAGTGCTCATAATTCAAACTTCATGAATTATTTTTAAAAATAATTCCTTATTTTTTGTATGTTTCATTTTTTGCATATTTCAGATGTCAAGGAATGCCATAAGGGATAACTGTGAAATAATATGGCTAGTGTACTCACTGACTCATTTAGTTTCTCTTCTTTGAGGCTATGGAACACAGCTTGACAGAATGCTCATTTTTCTTTAACCCTCAGGGCTATTTGAGTAGGATAAAGAATGCTTAAGGATCAAATGACTGATCTTCCCTTCTTTCCTGCTTTCCCCTTCCCTCCCCTCTGCTCCTTTTTGGTCCTGTCTTGCTCCTCCCCGCCCCGCCCAACCCCTCCCCCCCACCCCTTTTGGTTCTGGGGATGGAACCTAGGCCTCGTGCATACTAGATAAGTACCCTACCACTGAGCTACACCTCTAGTTGATACTTCTTCCTTGATCTGCATATATAGGTAAGAGACTATTTTCTTGCTCATTTCTAGTTGTATGTTCTTCTCCCTACCAACATCTTTAGTTTTTCTTACTGCCACTTTGGTGAGGTGCTTTTCTTAACGTGACCAGAGATTAGCCACAATCCGGTGAGCTATTACAAGTTGGAATGTTTATGCAAGAGAAAGCCAATTAGAACGGGGGTGTGTGTCACAGTTCTCTATAAATGCAAGGATCACAAATGATTCTCAGTAGCAAGTGGGTGTCTCACCAGTTGCTTTTTCGGGGTTGTTGCACATGAAGCACTGCCATGCTCCTGCTGTTTCGCTGAAGCCAAACACATCGAAGAACCTCACTTCTTCTAGATGAAGCTGTACCTGGTCCAGAGCCTGTTTCAGGAACACAAATCACGAAAACAAACATGCTGATCTGCCTGCTATACAGCATCCTGAGGCTAGAAAAGGGGGGCGTGGAATCAGGACAACCAGTGCTCAGCCTCAGTGCAAAGGACCAAGAGAATGGACTGGGAAGACTTTTTGTGGTTGATCTTAGAAAAAAGCAATCAAACTTACCCTATGGGGGTACAAAGCAAAGGAACATGGGTCAGGCTGAGTGTTGGGATCCAGAGATGTGTTAGAACCTGAAATGATCCAGAATTTTCTTGTATGTAGCAGCAGTTCCAGAATTTATAAAAAGAGGGGACATCCAAATGGCAGTTGAAGGAAATGCTTCTGGAAGAATTTCCTTTTATTTGCATTTCATGTACAATGTACATTAAGAACCAGTCATTTATATCAGAATATGTGATTTTTATCAGGATGGCTTTGCAGGGACTGATGGAAAATATGAGGATATGCTTAATCCCTCCACCCTTGGCTCCAGTGCTGTTTCAGTGTTGCGCTTTATCTTAAAAATATATGCAAATTTTGCATTCTGTTCCATAATACAGCTCTATTGATTTTAATGGAAAATAATGTTTTAACTTACTTATCTGTAAATTAGTTAACTTTGTTTCCTCTGAATGATTTAGTGGAATTTGATCACTAAGAAAATGGCCCATTTTTACATACTCCATGGCACCCTGCCAGTGTGCCCTTGCTGAAGTGGTAAAGCTCCATTAGATTGTAAATGGATGGAAAAATATTAGCCTAACCAAATTAAATAGCTCTACTTTCCTCCAGAAGAGTGCCTATTTTGTAAGTAACTGGAATCCTTTCTTATAGGGTGGCTACAGCTATACTTTTAAAATAGTTACCCTTCATAAGAGGGACTTAATGTTCTTGCTAGCCTTTCATGTACCTAGTCAGCTTACACGTTTGTCTTCTGCTGAGTGATGATTTTATTTATTCCTTTGACCACCATACTCTTACCCTCTCTACTGATCATAATTGTTAGTATACCCAAGAACCAAGTGATAGAGGTAATGTGTGCACTGTTTATAATGTATCTGAATAGAGAACGATCAAGTGGTTACCCAGATCCTATCCAAAGTCTGATTTCTATTTCCCATTTCCTGCCATAGATAAGAAGTATGATAGGCTATAATCTTGAGAACAGCAATATATCCACTTTGTTTAGAGTTTTATCCCTAGAACCTAGTCTAGAATAAGTAATGGAATAACATCACTAGTGTTTAGGACTAATGCACAGCTCCTTTTCCAACGAACTATAGGAAGAGTCTTATGGAAGACTTAGAGTTCTTTTTTCAGAGAACATTCACTACCACCAGAGCATAAACTAACCATATAGACCAGGATTTTGTCTGTTATGTTGGCTGTTGTAATCTCATATCCTATCTGTGCCTAGTACCTAGAAAACATTGAACATATGGAATTATGAGAAGTTTAAGCTATGAGTAGAAATGGATACCTTTCAACATTCTTCATTAAGACTATTATAGTGAATATTCAGGAACAGGACATTTTAGAGACACAGCATGCTGTGTATGGCATTTTGGTTGCTAACACTTAATAGCTTATCACAAGCATTCCAACAGGCACCATATATATAAGAATGTATATTTGACAAAAGTGATTTAGAATGTTCTCAGTGGAAAAAAAATGTTTCCCAAGATAAAGATTGAAGAAGAAGCACCTGGGAGTTTTGTAGGTTTCAAAGGATAAAATCCATATTAAAATTTATGGGGAAAAAGCAGATGTTCATAAATATCAGTTTCAAAACTGCTAAGTCTCTGAAGTCTGCGCTGAGCCATTGGCATGCAGATCACTTCTCTGGTTCCCATACAATTAAGGATCAATTTTTCATCCAGCACAAACACTGTAGCAAACAAAGTACTTAAAATAGTACTTAGGGGCTCCTTTGTTTTTCCTGTTCTGAGACCAGAAACATCCCAGGTTATTACCTATAATTCGCATTTGTCTTGGCAAAAAGTTGCTTAAATAGTTTAAGACAGATGGTAAATCATATCCCAGCATTTGAGTTCTGAAGCTCAGAGCAGGCTCAGCTCTTTAGAGGATTTCGCTACTATATGAAGGGAGCTGAGAGAAGGAGGTAGACGGTGCTTCTATGAACTACTGAAGTCAGCAACAGCAGCCAGCTTCAAATGAAGAGACAGATGAAACATGTAACCTTAAATATTTGTGGAAAATCGAGATAAATCACAAAACAAAAAGCACAAACCAACTACCAGGGCTTCTAAATTTTTAAGACTTTGACCTCTTAAATGTGCTTGCAATCATTATTTGTCTTTCCTACTTATCCTCTTTACCTTTCTGGGTCCTACAGCTTCTTAGTCTTGCCCAAGAATTATTATATAGCTTGCATTTTTTAAAGACAAGAGAAGTAAAGATGATTTGGAGAATTACAGGCTTCCTTTAAGACAATGAGAATTCATGAGCGTGACAGACAATTCATACTGAATTGTTACGCTTGTTCATGTTTTGATTCTAATGGGACTATGGCAGGCTACTGTCCAGTGGCCTCCTGACTCCTGGTGTTCATCTGTGTGTGTAATCCTTCACCTTGAATGAATTGCTTCTAACCAAGAATAGGTTATATGATTATTACACATACACACACTGCATATGTATACACAAGCTGTGTTGTTAGCACATCGATCCATGACTCCCCTGCTGTCCCTGAAGAAACCAGTTGCCATAGTGTGGGCTTCAGAGAACTATGGATGACTTCTAGCAGCCAGTGAGAGATCAAGTCCTATGTGCCTACAACAACAAATATGTGATTTCTGCCACTTAGCCAAATCTTAATGTAAATGACGATCCTATTTAGAGTCACATTCTTCTAAACACTCGTCAAATCAGCCCTCAATAAAACCTGAAGTTCAAATGATTGATATTAACTTGAAAAAGTTATATCGTCATAATAAGCATGCACTAAGAGAGATTTTCCCGACAAGAATTTTTCATTCAAAAAAAGTAAAAATTCACTGAAGGGAAAATGGTCTTTTAAAATGCTGCTTAGATGAGTTTTTCCTCCAAGTGTAAAAAAAAAAATCACTAATGAGAGAAAAAATTTGGAAAAAAGTGTATACAAAGTCTTTTACAGAGACCCTTAAGGGAAAAATAAACCAAGCAATGTGGACAGATGAGAGGATATTTAGAACATTAGTTTGCTGACAAATGACAGTCTGAGTCAACACAGTGGATTCTGTAAAAGCATATAGTGGCTCTGGCTCTTGTAATGTGGTCTACATACTGCGAAAGGGTTCTGTGAAGCAATTTCCAGAAATCAGTGAAAGCGACCATCTGGAAGAACTTTGGGTTCTGGCACATTGAAATTCTGTCCTAAAGCTTTTTGTGCACAGAAAGAAACCCTGGGTTTTCCCCATGTGCTCTGTGAACCCCTGGTTAGCAGGCTCAAATCTAGCCACATGGCCCAAAGATGTTTTAAGAAACGTAAGCAGAAAAGTTTCAAAATTCTCAATCTTTTCACATAATAATGACATTTTGCCTTTATGATTATTTCTAGTTGAAGTACTTTCATTTAGAGTCCAGGGTGTGAAATAAAGTTTTTGAGGGAACATTATTAGCAATTCATCTCTATAACGTCTTACATTGTGCAGGTGTTACTATTCTGGAAAAAAACCAAAACCACTGGCCTTTGAATGAATAAATAGCAGAAGAGACTTAAAGAATATTCATGCTATAGTTTAATCTTTCAACTTTTTAAAAAATACTGCTATTGAATTCAATTCATACCATTTGGTATTTCTGTCACTTGAGGTCAGAAACCTTTTGACAAAGAGATAAAGGAGGTAATTTTGTGCATTCCAAAGGAGCCACGCAGGTCCACAGTATTCCTTACAGAGAAGAATTGGAATATGCTTTCATTCATGTGTGGTGTGATTACTGTTAAGCTTCTTCCTGTATAATTCACATTCAACTGGATTAAATTTTCATCTGGTCTTCTGGAGACCAGTTCAATAGCTTTGGAATTGTGTTTTGTTCATAATAGACATTCAACAAATTACTGTGGATGTTTACTAAATTCAGGGACCTATATCTTATCTCATCTCTTAATTTATATCAGTGGTAGCATTTAAGTTGCCTCTTTTCATTTCCATTCAACTATTATCATTAAAGTTTTTATAATTTTTCTGTCTCTCTCCCTCTCCCTTCTCCCGTCTCTCCCCCTCTCTCTCATTCTCATTTTTCCAAATGGGGTCTTGCTATATTGTCCAGGCTAGCCTCAAACTCCTGGGCTCAAGTTTCCCTATTGCTTCAGCCTCTCAAGTAATTAGAACTACATGCGCACGCCATACTACAGTATAAAAATATTGCTTTATTTATGACTGAAGTTTGGAGGTTTGCAGCTCAATAGAACACTTCTTTGCATGTGAGAGACCCTGGGTTTGATCCCCAGTACTGCAAAAAAAAAAGTATGTATATCTATAATTTCATCTTCATGGGTATTGTATTTTAGGAACGCATGTTATTTCATTTTACTTAAGAAATCTTTAGAATAAAATGTTAATAATTGAAAATATTTGTCTTAATCTGTCAATGTGGCATGCTGATTATTCTTCAGACTCAGCTTTTCCAGATTGTCAATTCTCAGTTGGTACCGACATCAGAAATCCATGGGAAACTTGCCATCAACGTTATATATAGGCCTCACCATGGAAACCTAACCTTATGAATCTATCGTCGGGCCTGGGTATCTGTATTTTTTTTTTTTTTTTTTTTGTGGAGCCAGGGCTTGAACTCAGTTCCTTGCGCTTGCCAGGGAAGTGCTTATTCAACTGAGCCATCTCCCTGACCCCTTGGGTATCAGTATTTTTAAACAAGCTTCTTAAGTTATTCTGGTGTGCACTGATGGGGAAGTGAATCTCACATACCTCTGGAAACCAATGTGGGAATGACTGTGCATTAACTGGTGTTTGAGCAATTTGTAAGTTTGCATGTGCATG